AAAATGATTAATAATGCTGACAACATAACATAGTCATTCTCATTTATACTTGTGAAATATAAGGTGGTTTAGCCCTTTTAAAATATTTTTTAAAGCTTTATTTGAAAAGCAAAGTAACAGAAAGAAAGAGAGACAGACAGATGGAGAGACTGTCCATCTACTGGTTTACTCCTCAAATGCCTGCAAGAGCTGGAGCTGGGCTAGATTGAAGCTAGGAGCCAGGAACTCCATCCTAGCCTCCCCTGACATGGGTGACAAGGACCCAAGTACTTGAATCATCACTTACTGCCTCCCAAGATGGGCATCAGCAAGAATCTGGATCAAAAGCGGAGCTAGACTGGCGCCGTGGCTCACTAGGCTAATCCTCCGCCTGCGGCACCACCGGGTTCTAGTTCCAATCGGGGTGCCGGATTCTGTCCCAGTTGCTCCTCTTCCAGGCCAGCTCTCTGCTGTGGCCCAGGAGTGCAGTGGAGGATGGCCCAAGTGCTTGGGCCCTGCACCCGCATGGGAGACCAGGAAAAGCACCTGGTTCCTGGCTTCGGATCAGTGTGCTGGCCACAGGGGCCACTGTGGGGTGAACCAACAGAAAAAGGAATACCTTTCTGTCTCTCTCTCGCATTGTCCACTCTGCCTGTCAAAAAAAAAAAAAAAAAAGATTATTTGGGATAGGCATTTGGCCTAGTGGCTAAGAGGTCGGTTGAGACACCTGCATCCCATATCAGAATAACTGGGTTCAAGTCTTAGCTCCGCTTTTTTTTTTTTTTTTTTTTTTGGACAGGCAGAGTGGACAGTGAGAGAGAGAGACAGAGAGAAAGGTCTTCCTTTTGCCGTTGGTTCACCCTCCAATGGCCGCCACGGCCGGCGCACCGCGCTGATCCGATGGCAGGAGCCAGGTATTTCTCCTGGTCTCCCATGGGGTGCAGGGCCCAAGCACTTGGGCCATCCTCCACTGCACTCCCTGGCCACAGCAGAGAGCTGGCCTAGAAGAGGGGCAACCGGGACAGAATCCAGAGCCCCGACCGGGACTAAAACCCGGTGTGCCGGCGCCACAAGGCGGAGGATTAGCCTAGTGAGCCGCGGCACCGGCCATATCCCAAATAATCTTAAAAATATGCTTAAGGGAGGAATTAATAATTAAGGAAGAAATAGATACAGAGTTTACCTACAGGATATAAAACAAGCTGTGAGGGCCTTTCTCACCTACAGTGTCCATAATCTCTGAGGTCTACCACCATTTTCCATGAGTTTCCTCTAAACGCCACCTATGCCCTTTCACACCCCCTTTCAGTCTCAGCACCAGATAAGCTGGTAAAGAGAAGTGTAAACTGCATGTTCAGCCAAAAGGGTTACTATATCACTCCTCTTCCTGTTTTCCCCATCCCCAAACCTCCAATAACCCAAGAAGGACTTAAATGATATCACTATAAGTTCTTCCAATGGCTCTAAGTATTTGACAATATTTAATTATTTACTTTATTCATTTCTTCAATTGATAGGACTTTAGGATATTAATTTAACAACTGAGCACTCTTATGCCAGATGCTATCCTTATTAAATAGTAATTTGCTGTACATATAAGTGCTCAGGATTAAAAAATTATTTATAGTAAAAGCTTTTAACATTCTTACCCAATTATAACAAAAGCTGATGCTTATAGAGTACTTACAGGTCCAAGGCACTATGCTAAGTGCTCTATCAGGTAGCTGATAGTACATTTAGAACTTATGACATAACAATGGTAAGCAGCAGTAAGCCATAGTTAATAGTTTTCATCTACTATTTATGATGTCAAAAGGTGTCCTGAAAGAGAGGTACACTTTTCTTTGAAAAGCAGAGATTCCCTCCTTAGGTAGAAGGAAAAACATCCCCAATCTGAGACATGTATATTTATTTCTGAGCTAAAGAAAAGAATTACTTTCTCTCTTTACTTAACGAAATACTTAATCAGCATTTATACTAACCAGGTCAGAATCTAAGTGGAAAGCAGTTGATAAATGACCAGCATTATACTGTTCCGCAGGACGGCAATCCACCACAAAGAATCGGACTCCTTCCTAAAAGGGAAAATTTGACATACTAGAATTTGCCAGGAGGTTCACATTACAATGTATAATAGTAACAATTAGCCAATGGAGGAGGAATAAATTTATTAAAAAAATACATCTTACATTGAATAAGGAAGACCCAATTAGAATAGAAACAAGAAAATAACCTCGAGGTCTTAAATATTTTTATTCATTTTGAACAGTTAAAACATTTTTGATATATTATTCTTGACTGGTAAGTCTTTAAATATAGAGCAGGAAAATATTTTCATCGATAAAGCTAATTATACTGGAATTTGCCAATTTTTTAATGTATATCGCACAACTCTAGATATGATATTCTTAGTTTCACAAATAAATCCATAAATTTATTAACAACAATTCAAATGAAAACTATATGTATTACTTGTTTGGGGTGGAGGGGAGATTGGGTTCTGCAATGCCAATTTGAACTGAAGAATTTCACATGGATCTCTTCAACCTGGACTATATGTTTGTCATTGTTTTTAAATGTTAGTTCTGATACAGAAAAAGCACAAGACGTTTTTATTTTGAATTTTCTCAACAACTCATACAGATAAATTCAACTGAGATCTACTGGAAAAGGCCTGTCTTCCCGTGCCCATTGCTTTCCCCTGGTCAATGATGGAACACACCCAACTTTCCAAATAAGCATACTCATGGTTAACTATTGAACCGCTAGCAATAAAGAGAATATACTGAAAAATAATCACTGGCCAAATTGGCTCATTAGGTTTTCATGAGTATTGTAATGAACACAAATTGTGGTGTATTTTCATAATTCTCCTTTGCGTTGTGCTTTATAGCATTAAGCCATGCAATTCAATTAGCTGTGCAACTACTCAGATTTTTTTTTTTTTTTTTTTTGACAGGCAGAGTGGACAGTGAGAGAGAGAGACAGAGAGAAAGGTCTTCCTTTGCCGTTGGTTCACCCTCCAATGGCCGTCACGGCCAGCGCACCGCGCCTATCCAAAGGCAGGAGCCAGGTGCTTATCCTGGTCTCCCATGGGGTGCAGGGCCCAAGGACTTGGGCCATCCTACACTGCACTCCCTGGCCACAGCAGACAGCTGGCCTGGAAGAGGGGCAACCGGGACAGAATCCGGCACCCCGACCGGGACTAGAACCCGGTGTGCCGGCACTGCAAGGCAGAGGATTAGCCTACTGAGCTGTGGTGCCGGCCCCTACTCAGAATTTAACTGTTAAATACTAAGTTTATCCTTATGAGTACTTTATATAATGCCACATTCAGTTGCACTGTTGAAATATGAAAAAAGATATGACAATATACAGAAATTGGTGTCCAGAGTGACAAAAATAGATACCAACAATTAAAATCACATACAAGGTGGCAGTTTAAGAATGGCCATTTGAACACATCTGATCCATTAATTATTGCAAAAGGCAAAAGCGTCACATTGTTGCAGTAAATTATAATTACTAATGGGCATCAATGAACAGGCAGGAAGTGCTGGTTGCCTATATTGGGCTTCCTTTACTTACTCCTTGCAGCTGATTTGCTTGAAGGATCTCTGACACTGAGATGGCCAAACAAAGAGCCTGACTCAGATCTGCATCATCATCCTTAATTCCCAACAAAGTACTACCAAAGAGATGGTGATTATCCTGTTTGAAAAGAAATTTTTAAACATTGTGAAGAAGAAACAAAAACCTTCTTCCTTTTGTTCATAAGAGTATACAAAGAAAAGGTGGATATATTTTGTGCAGTTACAAACTCCTGGCAATCCAGATGGACTTAAATTTACAATCCCCAATTTGTAATGTAACACTGAAATCTCTTAACACAATACTTTGCTTTTTTCAGATCCCAGCCAAATAACATTTTGTAGCTACTTAGTTGTACAGAATATCCTGCTATGCCCTCCTTGTGATATAGTCCAGTGGTCAAATAAGTTTCTCAAGGAAGTGTACTGACATCCGAGACTGATGAAATTCTATCATCAGTTCCACAACAGCTTCATCAACTATCTACCCCAGACTTGCCATTAGTCACAATCCTTAACAGCCCAACCAACCTCTCTTATGCATTACTTAAAAGCCGAAGACCACCTTCACTGAGCAGTTTTGAGACATTTAGTCTGTTGCCATACTCATTTACCAGATTAAACTTTCTTTTCCTTTATCCTCAAACTTTGTCATTGTTTTTCTGATCTGGCAGCATTGACAAGAACCAGACTTCTGATAACACTTCAGTCATGTGATTTTTAAAACTTCGTTTTATATAGTCTCAAATCTTATTGGCTAAAAATGACAATAAGGCCATACACAAAGTCCCTGCCAGTTTACACAAGATGAAAGACTAAGAAAAAACACATTCTACACAGCTATTTTCCAATTATCAACTACAGTTAAATATTAAATGTTAAAAATATTTGGTCACAAGTTCTCATATCTTTAAAAAATGTGGCAGAATTGTAGAAATCATGTAACATAATGTTCCATATCAGTCTGCTAGAATTTTCCATTACTAGTGTAGGTTATTTACTATTTCTAAAGAATAAAAGGTGCTTTTTTAAAAGACAAAAAAAAAAAAAAAAGAAAATGACCTCTTTTTCACTCAGTATCCTAAACTGCCATAACACCTTCTAACTTACTCAACATTGTTGGAACTGCAGTGACCTACATAAGGAAATTATTTAAACAGCTGAAATTAGTTCCTAGAAACAAATCTAAATTATTTAAGAAAATAGTTTTTTAAAATGTTCACTCATTTTTATTTATTTGAAAGAGCAACACACAGAAAGAAACAGAGAGATCTTCTATTTGCTGGTTTGCTCTCCAAATGCCCCCAAAAGCTGGGGCTGGGGAAAGCCGAAGCCAGAAGCCAGGAACTTAGTACAGGTCTCCCATATGGATGGTGTGACTGAAGCACTTGTGCAATCATCACTGCCTCCAAGGTGCACCAGCAGGAAGCTGGATCAGAAGCATAACAGCCAGGACTTGCTTCCAGGCTCTTAAACATGGGATGTTGGTGCCTCAAGTAGTGGCTTAACCAACTCTGCCACAATGCCTACTGCAACAAAAAAATTTTTTTAAAGATTTATTTATTTATTTGAAAGTCAGAATTACACAAGAGAGGAGAGGAAGAGGGAGAGGGAGAGGGGGAGGGAGAGGGAGAGGGAGAAGGGAGAGGAAGAGGGAGAGGGAGGGGGGGAGGTAGAGGGAGAGGGGAAGGGGCAGAGAGGAAGAGGGGGAGAAGGGGGGGAGGGGGAGAGGGGGAGAGAGAGAGAGAGGTCTTTCATCCAATGGTTCACTCCCCAGTTGGCCTCAACGGCCGGAGCTGCGCCGATCCAAAACCAGGAGCCAAGAGCTTCTTCTGGGTCTCCCACGTGGGTGCAGGGGCCCAAGGATTTGGGCCATCTTCTACTGCTTTCCCAGGCCATAGCAGAGAGCTGGATTGGAAGTGGAGCAGCCAGGTCTTGAATTGGCGCCCACATGGGATGCTGGTGCTTCAGGCCAGGGCGTTAGTTAACCCACTGTGCCACAGTGACGGCCCCAAAAAAATGTTTTTAAAAGGTTTGCCTCGCCTGTCTTCTGAAAAACTATACTGAACATAATATTATCTCAACATTACAGTGACATGATAACTACCAAGTAGAAATTATTATGACAGAATGCTTTTTTTTTTTTTTAAAGGCAGGGATAGATGTTTGTTCTAGCCATTGGGATGCCTGTGTCCCATAATGAAATGCCTGGGTTCAATTCCAGGCCCAAGCTCCTAATTCCAGCTTCCTGCCATTGCAGGCCATGGGAGGTAGAAAGTGATGGCTCAGCTGCTCAGATGTCTGCCACCCACAAAGGAGACCTGCATTGAATTAATGCTAGGAGTGAACCAGAAGATGGGAGCTCTCTTTGTCTCTGCTCTGTGACTTTTTTTTTTTTTTTTTTTTTTTTGACAGGCAGAGTGGACAGTGAGAGAGAGAGAGAGAGAAAGGTCTTCCTTTGCCGTTGGTTCACACTCCAATGGCCACTGCAGCTGGCGCGCTGCGGCCGGCGCACCGCGCTGATCCGATGGCAGGAGCCAGGTACTTATCCTGGACTCCCATGGGGTGCAGGGCCCAAGCACTTGGGCCATCCTCCACTGCACTCCCTGGCCACAGCAGAGAGCTGGCCTGGAAGAGGGGCAACCGGGACAGAATCCGGTGCCCTGACTGGGACTAGAACCCAGTGTGCTGGTGCCACAAGGTGGAGGATTAGCCTAGTGAGCCGCAGCACCAGCCTATGACTCTTGAATAAATAACTAAAATAGACAATTAAAAAAAGACACCAAATATTAATGCTGTCATAGCCTCCTGAAGTCACTGAGAAACCTGTTTGCTTTGTAAATACAAAGAAGTGCCTCTTTCATTATTAGCTTTTGCTTCTTAGAATCTTATTTTCTAGGAGTTCACATTGGTCATGCTTCTAATTTAGTGTTTCTTAATTTAAGTACATGTCTTTTAAGGATCTAGGTCTCTTTGGAAATAAGTGACTTTTTTTTTTTTTAAACAAGACACCTCTGCAACATTAAGGCTGTGCAAGGCTGAACTCATACATATTCTCCAAAGGATTTTTGTAGTACAATTTTTAAAGTCAAGAAAGCACTCATTTAAGAAATATATCTCAGTCAACTTTTTCACAATTAGAAAAAAACTAATAATTAGTACACAGGTAAACTGGTTTCCATTATCTTTTTAAACCTGTCTGTTCTACTAGGGAGATACTCACAATGAAAAAAAAATTCATCCAAAATTGGAACATATAAAAAGAAAAGAATGATAAACATGTTTTAAGTGAAGTGGATGTAAGTTAAATAACAAAATAATGTACAAAATGGGAAATACAGAATAGTAGGTCATTCCTTGTCTTTTACCTTCCTAAAAGAGGCTGGTGTTTTACTGCAATAATACTGAGCCAGAGAAAAAAGGTCTTCAATGTCTTCTACATTCAAACTGGATGGTGTATTTTCCAAGAACTCTGAAATATGATTGCAGATATAACACTTAATAAATACTATGTAAATGGAATCTCAACAATAATACATTTTTCAGGCTGTCTATGGAGAAGTGGATACCCCCAAAGGAGCAGAAACTGTTCACATAATTCTCCTTAAGGTGAAGGATGGGATCAGGCAATTAAATCAATTCATCAGCTTTAATAAAAATTTTCTTTCATTCATTAAAAAATTAGATGAAATCTCAGGAGCCGTAAAAATAAAAAAAATTACTAAGAAATAATTCGTCATTTAAGGAACTGTATACTGTTGAGAAAATAAAAGATAAGTCTTTATATTATAATTATACAACATTATCATGTGGATAGTACAAAGTGCCAGGCATTAGAGAAGAAGTAGCTTTCTGTACAGAAGCAAGAGTAGGTGAAGAATCCAAAAGGAGAATCAAAGTTTTGCAATGAAGATGTTGAAGATGTTGGGTAAGCTGTGTATAAGAAAATAAACTAAGGGATGAGAGAGGAGGACATTCTCGTGAGCACTGAAACCAGATACTACATGGAAAAGAATGAAAAACATGAAATGATAAGAATGGCGAAATCAGGAAAAATGCATGGGGTCTTCCAAAAGTTCATGTAAAACATGTTCTATGAAAAACTGCATGGATCTTGAAATTTTATGCACAAAATAGTTTTTTTCCATGACCTTTTTAAAGTATTCTCACAACCTTTAAAGGTTTGTTCTGGAGTGTTTAAAGAAGTGGCAATTAAATGGAACCTCAGAACTTTTCTTATAGATGAGGAAGCTGATTTTTAGAGAGATTAACTGAACTGTAATTAATGTCTTCTCTACATTGAATAATACTTACGGATAACTTCTTCTTTGCTGTCTGATTCTTGTGCTAAAATAACTTCTCTGGAAAAGAGAATCAAATTTGAATTAAATATTACCAGAGTACCCTGAGAAAGGAGAGGAAACAAATCTAAGCAACTTGGTACTTACTTTGCATTAACAAGAATTATTAACATTAAGAAATAAATAAAAAATGGATCTGCTTGTTGTAGATATCCATCCCATATTGCCTGAGTGACTTCAATGGAACAGTAACATGCAAAAAGGCTTCCAAGCTGTAATCAGGAAATGAAATGAAAGACATAAACCACTGGAGCTGATTTGCTCTCTTAAAAGTATTAAAGCAAATTAATAAGTAATGTTACATCAAAATATCTACGCCTAATATTTAACATGCATCTTAACGTCAGTGTATGAAATCCAAAGGCAAAACATGTGAATTAAAGGCACAAATGAGCTATTCACTAGATGTGTGACTTATACATATTATTTAAAGCTTCCATTTCTACTTGTGTAGTTAATAACAACAACAATAATAAAAAGGATTACTACTGCCCACTTTTGACCTTTGTTGTAAAAAGAGATAATTAACCTAGACCATCTCAAGTAACTAACACATTTCTCTGTTGTATCATAACTAATATAATTACCTACAGAGTTCTATAAGGTTAACAGGGTAATTATTACTAATTAAGTACACTATTGATTTGACAAGGTGATTGTGATGCTCAAACATAGTAATTTAAGAGCACTTCACAAAATTTTAATGATGATATAAAAACTGTTCCCAAAGCTTACTTGTACATTACTTTAAAAAGATGAGACAATACTCATATCTTTCCATAGTTTTCAGCAGCTCTATGGTTCTGTATTTCAAATCAAGGAGTTATTAATGTATAAGCTTCTCTATAGCCCACTTTTGTTTTAAACTACATGAATTCAGTGCTATGTTTAGATTGCTCAATTTTCATCAGAAAAAAAATTCAATGTAAAGGATTAAACTTAAAATGTTTTTAATGGCTAAAGGGACCTAATTAAAACACATTTAGTGCAGAATTTTTACTAAACCACTACCACATATTACTTCCTGTCTCTTATTTTCATTCTCACTAAAGGCCTACAAAGTATATTTTCTTCTCATTTTACTGATGAGGAAGTAGACACATCAAAGAACTCTTTTGAGCACACAGAGTTTTTGAGTGGTAATGCTGGGACCAGAAAAAAGGCTAGAGACTCCATGGCCCATTTAATTGTCATTACACTTGACCCTGAGGCTTTTAAAAAGTACGTAAAGTCATTAATTTTTTTTGTTGTTTGAAAGATTACTACTACAAACACAAACTAGAAGATGTAAATACAAACAGAATAGTAATATATAGCTATCCTTATATTCACCTAGCTAATCTAAAGCTACCATTGCATGGCTCATGGTTATGGGTTCCTTAAGTTTAGGAATTAGTTTTAATTATTTCATCTGATTTTGAAAAAAAATTTCAATTGATCAACATGAATAATAATAATAAGTTGAAGAGAAGCCAGTTGTCTCAGGACTCAGTTTAAACCGCCTTTACCAGAACTGAATACTAATTTAGAGTTCTAGCAACAGAAATGGCATTTCCTAGGCAGAGATACCACTATTAATTATTAAAAAGGGGAAGAGAAGTAGTTTCATACTTTAACATAAATAACTAGCTGTAGTAGCAATACATGAATATTAGAGAAGGTAGAAAGTTTTAGGTATTTTATTATTTCAACTCAGTGACAAGATCATGGTTAAGAAAGAACCAAAGGACAGGTTCCTTAGGGCATGCATTTGGCACAGTAGTTAAACTGCTACTTTGGATGCCTGTTATCCCAAATCTGAGTGCTGGTGTGAGTGCCAGCCCCTCCACTTCATATCTAGCTTTCACTAAAACACTAGGGAAGGCAGAAAATCATTGTCCAAGTGCTTGGGGTCCTGCCACGCCTGTGGTAGACTCAGATGGAATTTTGGGCTCCTGGCTTTGGCCCAGCCCAGCCCAGCTGTTCCAGGCATTTGGCAAGTGAGCCAGCAGATGGAAAAAATCTGTCTCTCTACCTTTCAAAAAAAAAAAAAAAAAAAATTAAAAACAAACCAAAAAACAGACTAGGGTACTGAGGTTTGTGATATAATGAGCTCAGAAATGAAACCAGTTAGGATTATCTAACTACCATTTCCTGATTGTTTACTAATTCCATCATCTTCTGAGATAAATAATATTATTATTCCCACTTAACAGTTGAAGAAATCGAAGCTCTGAAATTTAGCGTCAAGATTATATAGTTTATAAGTGGCAGAAATGGGATTCTTTATAAAGAAATGTTCCAATACAATCAAAGATTATGTTTATTTTTTAATATATAGTCTTCCAGCACCTGGTTATTATTTGAAAAAGATCTTCAGGTTAACCTAGAAGAGCAATTCTCCCTTAGAAAACACCAAAACTCTTTCCAAGGGTGTCTGTGAGGTCAAAGTTATTTTTGTAATAATTCTTCTAAGACTTAATTTGCCTTTTTCATAATCATTTCCTCAAAATGCACAGAAATTTCCAAAGACAATATGCTCCATCACAGATTAAAATAAAAAGGTAGTTATGAGAATCCACCTGTCTTTGATCTTGCTAAGTTGTGGAGATTTACAAAAATATAACATAATGCTACTACCCCCACTAACTTTCTTTTTGAAAATATAGTTGTTTTTCACCTAAAAATTGGTTATTTAACAGGAAATAAACATTACCTTTAAATGATCCAATAAATGAACATATAAAACTCTTTAGCTTTATTTTCTAATCAATATAATCCATATAAACAATAGATAATCAATAAACTAAGAGTATAAGGGGTCCAGAGAATAAAAGGATTGAGAATTACTGACCTAGAATAAGACTTCTCGCTGAAAACAATATAGAAGGACACAGCACTGAACTGTACTTGATATTCTAACCATTTGATAACCTTAAGTAATTTCCCTTATGATTGGATGTCAATTCTTTGTGCACACCATTAACAATTTAAACATACAGTTTTGAATTGAAGTGATATATAGTATATTTACATATTATATGCATGTGTTTAAATATGTAGATAGATCAATATAAAGCACATATGTATAAATTAACATATCATGTATTTGTACACTAAATATCTATTAGTTATATGCCCACATATAAGTAAAACAAAAGGCTTAACTTTCTATCAAATAATCTGAACTAACATTAAGTAAAGAGTAAAAAAAGTCATTTTAAAATGCCAATAGTTTTACTCCTTTGATTTTAATAATAATGGTCTTTTCTTTCTCTTTCTTGGAATTAAAAAAACCCACCTAACTATAGTTTTATATAAATCTATTTTTCATTAAATGTTCCTACTTTCACTTTATTACCCAGTTGAGTGCATAGGAGTCTGGAGTAATTTTCTTTGTATCAAGAAGAGAACAAAGCTCAGGCTCATGGTATTGGATGAGTAATCGGAAGAGGTGAAATGGTCTCCCTTTCAGGGAACAGTCCCTAGAAGACAAGAGAAGCAAAGTTCTTTGCATTGACAGTTCAGAAAATTTAACATCAATAGTCAATCCTCCAATATTCAACTCCTTCTTTTTCCTGACACCATAACACCTGAACACCATAGTATTTACAACAGGCCTACTTGACAGAATCAGGAAGAGCTCTCCTGCTAATACCTTTCAAACTTCATTAAAGTTTTTAGAAACAGTAAGTCTAGGCATAATGGATTAAGCCACCGCCTGCAATGTCGGCATCCCTAATAGGTACTGGTTTGAGTCCCATCTTCTCCACTTCTGATCCAGCTTCCTGTTAATGGCCTGGGAAAGCAGCAGAAGATGGCTCAAAGTGCTTGGGGCCCTGTACTCATGTGGGAGACCCTGATGAAGCTCCTAGCTTCAGTCTGGCCCAGCCCCAGCCGTTGCAGCCATTTGGGGAGTGAATCAGCAGATGGAAGATTTCTCTTTCTCTCTCTCAACTCTGCCTTTCAAATAAATAAAATAAATCTAAAACAACAAAAAGGAAAGAAATAGTAGGCCCACAGCCACTTTGGGGAGATTCTCTCCAAGTCAGCACTCAAGCAAGAAGACTATAGGGATCACTGAAAATAGCACTTAGGTTATTTTGATAAGTTTGGGAGCCCCAAAGGAGATATGGAGAATCTGGAAGAAGTTCAGACACCTTGTTCCCTGCCAACTAAGAGCTTCAGCTCCAAAATTTACATACTCAGAAATGTCCTTTAGCAAAGGTACAAGTCTGAAATGGCTACAGATTAACATTTCAGGATAGTATTCTAGAGCATTAAAAGCTAAGTGGCCTGGGTACTAGGCGCTGACAGTGAGTTTCAGAAGGTGCCAAATATTTTTCTTGTTCAATTACTGTTCCACTCAAAGTTATTGTGACAGAAAAATGAGAAAGCTGAATGTGAACACTGTTTTAAAGTAAAAGGTGCGAAATCTATATTATACCATTTCTACTATCACAATGCTTCTTGTTAAACAGAAATCACACTGCAAGAGACTTCAAAAGTAGAAATTATTTAAAAAACAGAAATAATTATAAGAGGCCTAATGATACACTCTAGGCCAAGGATTTCCCATAGTTTCTAGCCATTACCTCAGGAAGCATCTCAGTCTGTACAGATTTAAGAAAACTCCTCTGCTAAGACAATGGTAGCCACTCAAACCCCTGATCCAAAAGGTGCTGCCCCTAAACCATGGTACCTAGGCACCTGAACCCAAAGAAGACACCCCCTGCAGCAGGTCCAGGTCTGGTCCACGCACCAGGCTCAACCCTCAGGAAGCACAGTTGCTTCCTCCTTCCAATGCTCAGTCTGACCCTGAACTCCTTATCTTCTAACTTCCGCATTAAGCAGCACTCTTTGAAAATCTTTTGTGACTAGAGGATTTGTTAGATACTACTGTATTCACATGAATTCATTTTAGTGTGTCCATGTTTACAGTACCTCAAAACAGAATTGACTTATCTCACTGAAAAAGTGTCTCTCAAAATATAACTGATTTTTGGTTGTCTCATATTAATGAATATAGAAAGATACTTTTTAACCACTATAGTTAAAGAAGCAAGTGAGGATGTTTGGCATAGAAGGTAAGTTACCACTTGGGACATCTACATCCCACACTGGAGTCTCTTAGTTCAAATCTCAGCTCTCCTCCCAATTCTAACTTCCTGCTAAAATGTACCCTAAGAGGCAGCAGGTGATGGCTCAAGTGCTCGAGTCCTGCCATTCCACATGGGAGACACAGACTGAGTTCCTGGCTCCTGACTACACCCCAGCAGAGCCCCAGTTGCTGTGAGCATTTGGGAAATGACTTAGTGGATGGGAGATCTATGTGTCTCTGTCTCACTGCCTGTCAAATACATAAAACAAATTTTAAAAAGACAAAAAGCACTGCAAGCACAGCACTCCCAGAGTCTGACTGGCTAAAGTGTGGTGTTACTGTGAACAAGGTGATGACTAAATAATCTTCATCTGGACCAGCAGGCTTCACTAATTACTCCATTCAGCTTTTGTTCTGGGATGCATTCTACTGGTCACAAGGGAACAAAGCAAGTGTATCTAATGGATCAGCAAAACTGTATAATAGCTCAAGGCACACGTCAGCCCAATAAGTCAGTTTTTATGGAAGAAATAACATGTGCCAGACTCTGAAATAAGCACTTTACAAACTAATTTCATATTGTCATCACAAACAATCCTATGAATTGTATACTCATTTTACAGACAAGAAAACTGAGGTTTAATTGAGGTCAAATAGCTCACCAAAGGTTACACAACTAAACAAATGGAATTAAGACTTGCACACATTGGGGCCGGTGCTGTGGCGCAGTGGGTTAACGCCTTGGCCTGAAGTGCCGGCATCCCATATGGGCTCCAGTTCTAGTTCTGGCTGCTCCACTTCTGATCCAGCTCTCTACTATGGCCTGGGAAAGCAGTAGAAGATGGCCCAAGTCCTTGGGCCTCTGCACCCACGTGGGAGACCAGGAAGAAGCTCCTGGTTCCTGGCTTCGGATCGGCGCAGCTCCAGCCATTGCAGCCATTTGGGGAATGGACCAGCAGATGGAAGAACTCTCTCTTTCTGCCTCTCCTCTCACTCTGTGTAACTCTGACTTTCAAATAAATAAATCTTAAAAAAAAAAAAAAAGTCTTGCACACTGGAAACACAATGAAATCATTATGCTATGCTACTGTTACATATATAAAATCTGATACTACAGTAAGAGGCATTTTGGGGGAGGGCATGTGGTTTAGTGTTTAAATTGCTGCTTGGGATGCCCGCATTCAATATCGAAGTGTCTGGGCTGGCGCCACGGCTCACTTGGCTAATCCTCCGCCTGTGGCACCGGCACCCTGGGTTCTAGTCCCAGTTAGGGCACCAGATTCTGTCCCGGTTGCTCCTCTTCCAGTCCAGCTCTCTGCTGTGGCCCGGGAAGGCAGTGGAGGATGGCCCAAGTGCTTGGGCTCTGCACCCACATGGGAGACCAGGAAGAAGCACCTGGCTCCTGGCTTCAGATCAGCACAGCACCAGCGATGGTGGCCATTTGGGGGGGGTGGGGTAAACCAACGGAAGGAAGACCTTTCTCTCTGTTTCTCACTGTCTAACTCTGCCTGTCCAAAAAAAAAAAAAAAAAAAAAAAAAAATAATCAAAGTGTCTGGTTTGAGTCCCAGCTCTACCGCTTCTCACCCAGCTTCCTACTGACACATACTCTGGGAGGCAGCAGATAAAGGCTCAGGCAGTGGGCTCCTACTACCCATGTGGGAGACCCATAGAGCTGTTATGGGTATTTGGTTAGTCAACCAGGTGATGGAAGGTCTCTGTCTTTCAAATAAAATGAAAATAATTAATAAAAATTGTTTTAAAAGGTGGTATTTTAGGGGCTAGTGTTGTGGCACAGAGGGTAAAGCCACAGCCTGCAGTGCCGGCATCCCATATGACAGCTGGTTCAAGTTCCGGCTGCTCCACTTCTGATAAAGCTTTCTGTTTGGCCTGAGAAAGCAGTGGAAGATGGCCCAAGTACTTGGGCCCCTGCACCTGTGTAGAAAACCTGGAAGAAGCTCCTGCTCTGCTCCAGATCAGCGCAGTTCCAGCCACTACGGCCACCTGAGGAGTGAATCAGCCATGGAAGACATCTCTTTCTCTCTCTTTCTCTCCCACCCTCCCTCTCTGCCTCTGGGTTTCTGTAACTCTGCCTTTCAAATAAATAAATAAATCTTTAAAAAAAAAATAAATGGGAGGAGCAGGTGTTTTGTTAAAAAAAAAGTGCTATTTTGGTAAGAGTACTATTAAAAACCAAACTGCAAAGAAGATGAAATGAGATAAAAGGGTTTCATGTAAAAAAGTTAATGAAATGAATGTCCCTGTTTTATTATTAAATAATTGCTAAAGGGGGGAGAGAGCTGTGGCATAATGGGTAAAGCTGCCACCTGCAGTGCCGGCATCCCATATGGGCAACGGTTCCCAGCTGCTGTACTTCTGATCCAGCTCTCTGTTATTGCCTGGGAAAGCAGAAGATGGCCCAAGTCCTTGGGCCCCTGCACCCACATAGGAGACCCGGAAAAAGCTCCAGGCACCTTGCTTCAGATTGGCTCAGTTCTGGCCATTGCAGCCATTAGAGAGTGAACCAGTGGATGGAAGACTTCCCTCTCTCTCTCTCTGCAACTTTGCCTTTCAAATAAATAAATAAATAAATCTTTAAAAAAAAAAAAACACTGCTAAAGAAAGTTTTAAGATACTATTCAGGCTTACATACAGAAATCTACCAACAACAGATGCTGGCGAGGATGTGGGGAAAAAGGGACACTAACTAACCCGCTGTTGGTAGGAATGCAAACTGGTAAAGCCACTATGGAAGTCAGTCTGGAGATTGCTCAGAAACCTGAATATAACCCTACCATACAACCCAGCCATCCCACTCCTTAGAATTTACCCAAAGGAAATTAAATTGGCAAATATAAGAGCTGTTTGCAACTCAATGTTTACTGCAGCTCAATTCACAATAACTAAGACATGGAATCAATCTAAATGCCCATCAACAGTAGACTGAATAAAGAAATTATGGGATATGTACTCTATAGAATACTATACAGCAGTAAAAAAAAATGAAATCCGGTCATTTGCAACAAAATGGAGGAATCTGGAAAACATCATGCTGAGTGAAATAAGCCAGTCCCAAAGGGACAAATATCATATGTTCTCCCTGATCGGTGACAACTAACTGAGCACCTAAAAGGAAACCTGTTGAAGTGAAATGGACACTATGAGAAACAATGACTTGATCAGCCCTTGTCCTGACTGTTGATGACCTTAATACTTTATCCCTTTTAGTATTTTTTTGTTCTACTTAATACCATTGGTTGAACTCTTTAATTAACACACAATTATCTTAGGTGTTTAAATGTAACTGAAAAGTGATCCCCATTAAATATAAGAGTTGGAATAAGAGAGGAGATGTACAGTTCAGCACATGCTCAATCGGACTTACC